CCTCTGGTGCAACTTGAGGCCATTTCCTCGTGTCCTATGGGTAGTTATTCTGCCAAAGAGATCAGTCCTTGCCTCACTACAACCTCCTTTCAGGATAAATGTGTCAGAAAGGTTCTTTTCTGGGCTTTGGCAAGCACTGATACAGAAGTGCTATGCTTTCCCGCTGCTGAAGGGAGAAATCTGGGTTCCCACATTTGGAGGGAACTGGGGACTGATTCAGTGCCTGGTGGAAGAGCATGTTATGACTCCCATCAAGTAGTTTAGTATTTTTGCACAATACCGGATCTCACTTAAAGAAGTAAAGGACAAAACTTCTAGCTCTCTCTGTTCAATAAGCAAGACCTAAGCCCATGAGGCAAAGGTAGCTCAATGCTGAGAAGCTGCAGAGGGTATGGTGTTAATGGTACTGGTTTTAATTATTTCAGCCAAGCATTTGAGGTAATTGTTTCATTTGATGAAACGTGAGAGGAGGGACCATAGATATCTTCTTCAGAACACTATGTAGGCTTATTTGTGTGAAATAAGTTGGGAGGCTCTAGATACCAGCCCTTATTTTCTATCAGTGATTTAGGGCCAAGAGAAGCCATAGTGCATCCTCACTGAGGATGCGTATGAGGACTCAGCTGTCTCCTGCCTGCTTCTAATGGCTCGGAGGGTGCATCTTAGAAAACTAGAACCCAGTTTGTTGTGGAGACAAGAACGTGTCTCCACGACACAACTCCTGCTTGGGAGTGACCCTGCACAAATGATCTGCTCTGTTCTCTATGCCTCCTTGGACTCTTGCTTGGATAGACCTCATTAGCTCTCCCATGGGTTTTATTGACATCTGTATGTCTCCTGGAGCAGCCTGGAGTCTGGGATTGACATGGAGCTGCTTGTAAAGGGCAGCATAGATTGAGGCAATCCCATACGCCAAGGCTCAGGTGGGAATTCTCATGCAGGCACTGATCTCCACTGTCCGTGGGTGAAGGGGATGAAATGCTGGTTTACAGCACTCCAGGAAGGGTAGTTTTCTTTCTCCCCACCTTTGCACCCTTGACTTTATTTTTTTTTTCCAGAACATGGAAGAAACTGCCAAAAACTGATAATATGCCAAGCATTTGTCTTGAGAGTGCTATTCTCTCTCCCAGTGTGACTTACATCCGCTGGAAAGTGCATGAGGACTGGGTTACACAGGTAAAAGAATAAAAAAAATGGGAGAGCTGGTCTGTCGTTTGATAAGAGTGGGAGCAGCAGCATGCTGAGAAGAGGCTCAGCTACACGTTTACACAATTCACGCTCATGAAGAGTTTAATTCACTTTATTCATCTGTGTTTTTTTCCTTTCTATAGAAAAGAAAAAAGAAAGGGAGAGAGAGAAAAAAAAACAGAATAAAAAATAGCCCAGCAGACTGTATCTTCCTATGGACACAACTTTGCGTTAAACATTATTCTCTCTCATTCTTTGCAGCTGAGTTACTATGACTCCATTAAAGCTGTAATTTCGACCTCCAGCCACGAGTCAACAGCTTTAGTAATAGGTAACAATTTTGCTTATCCTTAAAACCAGTAGGAAATTCTTACCAGATAATTTGTGTTCTCTGTGCTTCCAGGCCTGGAAGTTTACTTCCAATTTACTGTAGTTCCACCATAGTGTCATTGCTACCTTCATACCTAGTAGTGGCCTGAAGTGTAAACATGTTCATTGATGACAGAAGGCATCCAGGTTCTGGGGACAGAGTGGAATGGAAGCAGAATTCTCTCCTTTTTTTTTTTTCTTTCCCTCTGGGATTACCTATTGTACAGGCACAGGTAGGTTTTGTACATGTGAGACTGATTCATAAGCCCCTCCATGGCCAGTAGAAAAGGCAGCAGCCTTGCAGCTGAGCTGAACTGATTTGCTGACCAGTCTTACCAACTTTGGGAGCTAATGCAGGAGAGCAAGAGTCGCAAAGAACATTTGCCACTTAGTAACCTATCCCTATGGTCTAAAAATATCTTTGACAAGGACCTGAATCCTCAGGTTTTCTGCAGACTCCCTTTTTTCCTCTTGCCTGCAAGTTTACACTGAAAACTTGGTGAAATGTCAGAAAATATAAATGATTGCCATCATCATCATCATTAGATTGCCATCTAATTCATTTTACCTCACTAGAAATAATGCAAGATAAAAATCTCTGATTGATATGATTTGTTGATATGTTGGAACTAAAGATTTTCTAAATGATAAGAAAGTGTGTGTACCTTGGGCAGAGGTACAAGCTGGAAGGTATGGCCTTGGGGGCACTGTCACAGTCTGAACCCTTAGTGGGGAAGTCAGTGTGTCCCAAACACCAAGAGGAGAAGCTTTGCATTAATTCAGGTGATAACATAAGAATAGACATCTGGAATATAAATAATACAGTTTTCAGTTTTGAGCTTGTGTCCAGGAATACTGAGAACTCGCCAGTGCTTTAAAAATGAATATTTAAACCAAAGGCTAAATGGTTACTGGGGAATTTTCATAGAATCATAGAATCATTATGGATGGAAAAGACCTTCAAGATCATCAAATCCATCTGTAAAACTATCAATCACAAGCATGCCTGCTAAACCATGTCCATCTGTCCATGAAATCTATCAGAAATCTGTCCTTTGGGTCACAACTTGCCAAGAGTATGCACCTTGTAAGCTCAATGTCTGTCTTGAGACTTTGAGCTAAAATACTAAAGTTCTGTGTTACATGCAGGCTGGCTAACTTTATTCAGTCTTTAAATAACCAGTCCACACGAAAAAAACTTACGTGTTTGGTTCCTTTCGCTTTGTATTTCTGGGTCTTGTTAGTGGAGGTGAAATGAACCCAGCATCTCCATGGCTTCTTTTCAGCAAGGCACCTGAGCAGCTGCTAAACCCCCAGCCCAATTGGACACATGCAAATGTACTTCCTTAAATGAATTAAAGACATAAGAAGGTCTCTCAAATCTGTTTCACTCTTAAGCAAGTTGATTGCAAAGCTCCTCTTGACCTCCCTGAGCAGAATCCCCTCTTTTGAGGGTAAGTAAATAAATACATTTCCTCGATACACCGATCGGCTCTCACACAGCCTTGAACTGTGAAGCTCTGAACATTTCCAACATCAGAGTTAAGTGTGTGCAGCTCTGCTACAGCTCACTGCCGCCCAGCGCAGACCTTCCCCCATCCAATTTGTCTTCATCTGCCCACAGGAAGAGAGTGAGAGAACTCCCGTCTCCTCAAGGTCACCTCTGGTTTCCATGGTGACCATTTAAATGTAATTGTCTTATCAATCGGAACCTCCTTTATTTTCATAAGCAACTATAAAATCTCTGCTGGTTTCCATAGCAACCATCTTTAAACACGTATATTTGCTTTCTTTAGTCTTAGCTGAATTGTTGGAAATAGTGCAAATTAACTGCTGGTACAATATTTCACATATTTTTTCTCTTAAGCTATTATTTACTGTCACCCAGAACAACACTCACGATGCCACTACTGTCCTTTTGTTCGTGCTGTTTAGAGCTGCTCTTTGTTATCTGCCCACGTGAGCAAAGCATCTTAAAGTCATCATTTTCCTGAGGAACAGGAAAACCTGAAGCTTCTGGAGTTTAGTCTTCCCTTCCCAGTTCAGGCCCTTCTATCTGTCTCTCCCAGACAGATGTGGTGCCCTTTCATTAGCCCAAATCACTTGCGGGAAAAATTTGCAGGAATAGCACCCCCCCTCTGGTAACCTCAGCACAAAGTACAGTCATTACTGAACAGCAACACTGGAGTTAGTCAAATATTATTACCCGTATAGTGTGAAGAATATGCACAAGGTTAATGGGCCATCTACACTGCAAATCCAATAAATGTCAAGGATTTTTTTTTTTTCAGCCTAGATGTGGTGGCTGCAGACAGAGCGGGTACCACATTGGCTATGGTTTCATTTCACGAGACAGCAGGCAGACACGGTTATCAAAAATAGCTGACAGTGTGACACAGTGACGACGACTCTCCTAGTTCATGATCTGACTAAAAACACATGTTGTTTTTCAATTTCGCGAAGTTCATTTCTCCTGGGTAGATCATAACTGGAGAATGTGCTTAGTTCAAGGTTATAAAATTAGCAGTAGATAATTATTTCTCTCTGAAAATCTGTGGCAGCTTTCGCTGGAATCCTCTCCACAGCAGCAGATCACAACCCTGCTGCATAAATACTGCTCATTTTGTGTAGCTTCCAGGTTGTATAAAAAGGGAACATGAAATACTGAAGAGGAAGAAAGGACCTGAACTCCCCCTGTGGTGCTGATTCCTGTCCGTCATGGCCTTTTCTTATTTCTTTTTTACTGTCTTGTTCTAGGAAAACATTTGTGCTTCGGGAGAGACATGACATAAGTGTTTGCTTTTCTCCTAATGCCCAATTTCTGTCTGACACTTGGTCTCTTTGGGGTTTTCCTTTGCTCTCTGCTACCCAGAAGTCGTCACAGGTGCAGGCTGTGTTTGTGCCTGTGCCCTGGGATGAGCAGCACATGCAAGGACACCAGCAAGACTGCATCAGTCTGCATTGCTCCCTGGCAAAAAAGTTGCTAATAAACTGGAAGAAGCTCAAGGAAGAGTAAAACAAGCAAATATATTAAAAATATTTAAAATTTAATAAAATTAAAAAGGTAGGGGGGGGTGGGTTCCCTTATTCAGAGAGATCAAAGCAGCTCTGTGTCAATTAATGAGAGACTCAGTAACTGTCATCAAGGATTAAGTATGGGAGGAGGAATACATCAGTGTGATAAAAAAGGGTATGAGTTAACTTTTTCTAAAATTAAGAAAGATGAAAATCTAATGACTCAGGAGCATAATGCCTAATTCGCAAAAGGTGGTAGGTAGTCTAGGGGCTTGGAGTCCTTCCAGATGCCTGGCTTTGCTGAGCGAGGTGTCTGTTTTTCCAGGATGCACTGTTGGATCTACTAATGTTGAACAGCGTATGAAAGAAATACAGGAGCCTGGGAAAGGCTCAAAAGGAAGGAAAGGGCAGCCGGCAATGGGATCGCCTCCAAGGAGAGCCAGAGGGGATCAGACTGTGTTCCGAGTCCCCAGAGGAGTCAAAACGTTTGCGTTCAGTAAGAGGAATAATCTCCTTGTGACCGGAGGAATGGATCGGACCATCCGGCTGTGGAACCCCTACGTGCCCAGGTGAGGGGGCTTGTGACACCTGCCAGAGGGCTTGGGCAGGACATGTCATAGCCCCCAATGTCCCTAACTGCCCATGGCCCGACTTTTGTGTCACTGCTGTCTGTGTGAATCTGTGAGCTCAGGAACACCAAGCACTCTGTGGCATTTCCTCTGATACAACCAGACACCCAGGTGCACCGTATTGCAGGTCTTTATTCTTAAGACTGCTGCCCCCCATTAGCTCATTCAAACCCCAGTGAAAAACAGCTTCTATAAAAAGGTGTTTTGCAGAAAACCAGACGGTTTTTGATGAAAGCTTGGCAGGAGCTATTCCTCATCACTATTCCTCATCACTGAGCTCCCAGAACTGCGTCATATTTTGCAAAAACAGATGCCCAGGGAGGGAGGAGGAGACTTGTCCAAGTCATGGCTATGTCAAATCATTGTAAATTACCAAGATGCCTAGAAGTCTAATAACAGGTTCAGAAGGCCCCTGTGTCACGTACTGCATGGAGAGGGAATGCCAGGAGTACATCAGAACTGAAGTTTGCAGCAGAGATGGAAGCAGACAGAGTTAGGGAGTACAGAGAAGTGGGGAAACAATATTAACACGCAGGAAAAGCCACTTTCTTCAGGCAGATGCTTGCAGTGCCTCTGCCTTTATTTTAGTGAGGAGCTACTGTTGCTAAAATTTTTGTGAGAAAACTTGCAGAACAGTTGTCCAAAATACAATCATTAAAAGATTTAGGGCCATTACATTTTATTTGTCTTAATAAGAAACTAGTAGATTGAAACTGTTTAATATTGAACTATTCTTATTTGAATTCCAGCCAATGCACAGGCATGCTCAGAAGCCACACAGCACCGATCTTCTATCTCCACATATGTGAAGAGGATGCTAAAATAATATCCGTGTCCACAGATAACACAGTAAAGGTCTGTAAAGAGTTTTGATACAATCCTCTTGTTCTTTCTATGTAAATTTGCTGAAATTTTCCAACTTCTGGATGTGTGACTAGTGTATAATCTGCACAAAATAAACACATGCCCTTTGCCTATATTGGATAAACATTTGCAATTGTGAAGCCAAATACAGAGCTTCTGGGATGCTGGGTTGTGTCTCTCAGTTCAGCTTTGCTCCTTTGAGCATCTTTATTCCCACACAGCATAACTGTGCCCGGGGCCCCCGCCGCCCACGCCAGGCAAAGCGAGGCCTGAGCCGCTGCTTTGCTGGTGATCAAAGACCGGGTGAGACTTCTGCTTCAGGCCTCCCTTCTGCACACAAGAGATGTGCACAGCTGTGAACAGGCCAGGAATGAAAGCAGAATTTTCCTGTTGGTACCTCTGTACACTCTTCTAACAGCCCTTTTTGCCTGTGATCCTTGCAATGAAATGCTCCAAAATGGCTGAACAGTTTTTGCCAACCCCCTACGATCCTCCTGCAAGCAACACTAAGTGCAGCCTGCGCAGGACGCTCACCCGCGTGCTGAGGTGCACCAGGCTTTGGAATAACACACATTCCCCTCCTCTGCTTTCCATTTTTCCTGTAGATTTGGGATGCTGAGGACCAGAGCTGCTTGTTTTCAGCTTGTTCAAAAGCCAGTGGAATCAAGGGCGAGCTCTCAGCTTGCCTTTATGCACCCGCCATGCAATCACTTTATGTTGCTGCAGATTCACTTGCTCTCCTTTACCTGGAACTGAGGTAAAGGCAGCTGGGGACAAGGCAGGGGAGGGGGGCTGTGCTCTGTCTCTTTTTCACTAGCCTGTGGTTTGGTAAATGTGAAATCAATGACAGAACAGTTTGCTAAGGACGCATGAGAGTGCCATAATGACAGCAGATAAAGAACATACTGTTTGTTAAGGACTAAAAGCCTCATTCTCCTTATCTGGGGTTTTAGCTCCTTTTGAATTCAGCATCCTTCCTTCTCCTCTTTGCCTGATGTACCAGGGAAAAGATGGAGAGCAGCTCTAAGTGCTCCCACCTTTTGTGACACTGGTAAAGAGCGTGGCCCAGCCGACCCGATCCCGCTGTGGGGAGCCCGGGGGGAAGCGCCGGGTGTGCTGGGTGCTTTCCAAGTGCCTGAAGTGGTTTTCTGTGGAACAGGCCTCTCCCAGAGCGCCGCTTGGTGGTCTCTCACCTGGAGCCCGTTCTGTGCTGCAAGTTCAACAGAGCGTTCAGGCAGGTGGTGAGCTGCTCCGAAGGATCTGTAAGTGAAAACGGAATTGCTCTAAAGAGCTACTTCTTCTGACATCCTCTTGGCTATTTTCTGTCTGCCTGTGCATTTTTAATGCCCCACTCTCCACAAGGTATTTAGCAGCCCGTATGGTGAATATTATAGCAGGTATAAAGCAGCACACATCACATCCATCTTCTCAGCAGCTGCTTCTGGGAACATGAATCTGTTATTTATGCTGTTCCCTTTGCTGCCCCCGATCCCATCAGACTGTGCTGGTGTGGAGCCCGCAGTGGTGAGCCCAGCACACGGTGGCAGGTTGCACCACAGCAGCCTTATCAGCAGAAACGCAGGTGCTGGATACCCAGAGCCACCTCAGCACAAGGGTCGTTAAGAACTAACCCCCCTTCAAGTCTGTCCTCCAGCCCCTGCTGAGGGAGATGTTGGAGATCTCAGTAAAGGTGACAGAGGGACATGCCTTTCCCTTGCTGTTCTGCAGAAAAGAAAGACTGAGCATGAAGGTGGGGACCCAGGTGGCAATTCAAATGGAAATCTTGGGCTTCTTTTCAGACTCCAATTTTCTTTGATTTTTTGTTTTCTTTCTCTAAAGACAGTTAAAGTGTGGGATTTTGAAACAGGAAGGCAGCTGTTTGAGTTCACCAGTGCTCATGGGGAGGCAGCAATCACCTGTTTGACTTTTGATGACAGTGGAAGAAGGTACATTTCTTTACATGTTTTTTAAATCTCTGTCGGTGTTATTGCTACTAAATACAGAAAAAAAAAAAGAGCATGCATCTTGTTTTAGATTGGTTACAGGAGCCCGAGATGGATGTTTGAAGATATGGAATTACAATAATGGGCACTGTCTGCATATTCTGAAGAGAGGTAAGCAGTTTGGGAATGTCTGGAGGAAAGACTGGAAAATATTTGAAGAGCCTAAACGAGCCTGGATTGGTTTCTTTTCTCCCACAGAAGACAAGTGTGATGAGATCTGTGACTGCACCTACGTGGAGGTGAATAAGAGCAAGTAAGGTCTTCCACAGCACTGAGTGAGCCTCATCCCAGGGGCGGATGCATTTGGTGGGAGTTTATGCAGCAAGTAACCCTGCTTTTCCGTGGGAAGGTTCTCTCCTGGGACATTCCTGAGGGATTAGTCAGACCTGCATGCCTCAGGCAGAAACATGTGTTGCAGCTTCTGGAGAGAAAGAATAAAATAAAATAAAATAAAATAAAATAAAATAAAATAAAATAAAATAAAATAAAATAAAATAAAATAAAATAAAATAAAATAAAATAAAATAAAATAAAATAAAATAAAATAAAATAAAATAAAATAAAATAAAATAAAATAAAATAAAATAAAATAAAATAAAATAAAATAAAATAAAATAAAATAAAATAAAATAAAATAAAATAAAATAATAAAAACAAGCAGAACTGCAATACAGGCAAGCAGAGCAGCCCAGCCTGACCAAGCAGGCTCAGGTTGTCGGTGCTGCCTGTAAGGGAGGCTCAATCTGCACGTCCACAGTGGACCAATGCCCAGGGAACACCAGCAGCCCCAGAGAAGCTGCAGAAAAGGAGGTTATCTGGGAAAAGGTCTGTCCCAGAGGCTCTGCTGTGTCTCCCTCATCCCCACACCACCTGCAAAGGCAGGGAGCCCAGGGGAAGGTCCCTACCCCTCCTAGGATCCCCCGGGGAAGAAACGTCCTGCCCTTTGCAAGGATAAGACTAAACGTTGTGCGCTCTCTTGGTCAGGACAGAGTCCCTTAGCAGAGCTGGCCCTGAGCTAAGGAACTAACTGAAAACTACATTGATGGGATTTTATATTTTTCAACTGCCCTATCAACTGCCCATGTCTTTTAACATGTATTTAGACATGTGTATAAATCAGCTGGTGCTCTAAATGATAGGCTGTCTGTGCCATTGCTCTGCTGCATCACAGACAACACACCTGTGCTGTTTGTCATATAGCATCACATGTAAGTCAGAATCTGTTGCATTAAGCATAGTGCCAAGCACATCAGTGAAAAATACTGTAGTTTCCAACAGGAAGAGTAAGACCAGAGTGGCAGATTGCAGGTAACTGCTTCATCATTTGGAGATCAGTGAGTAAATTTGCTCTTGTATGAATATTTGAACTAGCCATTTTGAGGTACTTTGTATCTTTTTAATTTTGGAAGAGATTGTTGATAAAGCAAATACTTCCTGAGCTGTGTCCTGAATATTCTCCTAGGTATATTGTAGCTGTTGGATGGGACAGAAGAATAAACGTGTACTTTGTAAGTAGAAAGACTGCATATAAAAGAGATGATCTATTAGCATAAAAATATTGGTATTAAATTCCTATTTTAAGTGAAAAGCATAATTCAGTGTTTTGATCTTTGTAAAAACTGAACAGGAACAGAAATCTTTTTACCCCTACCAACACCTTCTGTCTGGGCTTGAAACCAAAAATGTGTCCAAGTTGCACAAATCAAATGATACAAATGATACAAATCATTCCATGGGACAAGTGCTGATTAAACTGGGCCTCCCCCTCTCTAGACCGTGCTGGTGCTCAGCTCGGAAAGCAGGCACAGTTCTGAGGCTGCCTTCGAGGCTCGTATGTGTGACGTGGGTGAAACTGAGCTGCCTGGTAAAGCCCCAGTCCCTTGGGTTTCCTTGACTTTGGGGCCTGGGAGCAATTTCTTTGAGTGCAGCTTGGCTAATCAGCGCAGAAAGTTGAGTGTGCAAATCTTTGCACAGTAGGTGCCACAATGCTTTCTTGTCCTCAGATTTCAGTATTTTGGTCATTTTTTAGGGGAAGAAAGTCTGTGTAAAGCTTTACTTGGCAATGATTAAGGATTATGCATTTCTCTGTTGTTAGATAGCCAAATTGTGGTGGCCTCTACCAAGGTCAGGTTTAAAATGCAGAGAGGAAACTTATTACTTCTGTGATATGCAGGGCTTATTTTTTCCTCACAAGATGCAAGATTTCCTTCTGTGCCCTTGGGAATTGCCAGCTTCAGGGACCTCTTTATCTTCTGTGGAGTGGAATTTCCATTTTCTGGCAGCTCTTTTCACAGGGTTGAACTGATAGCACTGGTTTTCCCTCCCATTGAGCTGGTGGATGTGTGTCTGGGGAGAGCATATATGCACATATCCTTCTGGCTGGGGAGATCAGTGTCTCCCTTTTGTGTCTTCTTTGGTACAGGACTCCACAGAGGAGCTTCACCGTGTTCAGAAACCTCAACCATTCTGGCAGGATGACATAGTAAGAACCCACCTTCAGTCTGTTTCAAATACATTTCTTAGGGAGACCTGTCAGTTATGGCACAGTCTAAGGCAGCATGGCTTGACTAATAGATACTTGGTCAACATTTAATTTAGACAAGCGAGATTTTTGTAACCAACTGTTTTATTTTAGCAGCACGTATGCCTTGGTCACTAGTTTTCTCCATTATCTAGCAGAAGTCCAAAACAGAAGAAGTCTGAGCTCAGGGAAGAGGAGATGGGTAAAGCTAAATGTTTGTGAACCAAGATGGGAGGCGGAAAACAGGCGTCCCCACAGCCTTCCTGGTCATGGAAAATATAAGACTTTTTGGAGGGGTTGATGGAGAAGGGAGAGGTTATTCCCATGCTTTGTGTCTAGCACATTAGACCAAGAGCAGGGATCACTTCTTCTAGGCTTTTGTGTGTGACCAGACCAAGCCAACAAGAGCCTGCAGAATAAAAGTGGGCATTGAACAGTTCTTTCCTCATGGCTCTTTTTCTGTTTGCATCTAGACCCAGGGTCATAAAGAGGATATCTTGTGTGTTGCTCATTGTCCACCGGCTCTGCTCGCCACGGCTAGTTACGATGGTGAAATTATAGTTTGGAACATGAGCTCTGGCTGCATCTGCTGCAAACTGCACACTCCACGTCCTCCTGACTGCGCTATGGGAGGAGGCAAGTACCGCTCGGGAGCAGTGCGGTGACAGTGAATAAACCTCTGCTTTCCAGAATATTTGCGAAAGGAAAATTTTAAAAATATATATTTTAGATGGATTAAAATGGTTGGTTTTGACTTTTATGAGGTTATTTATACCATATATATGTATTTTACAACTCGTAAATCCTATCATTTGAACTGTTTCTTGAAGAAAAATAAGTTTGTTTCAAAATAGGCTCTTTTAGAAACTCTCAGCATTTTCCTTTCTTTAGCTCCAAAATAAAACTGTAGTAACAACCATGCAGAGTGCTCTCCATTTCAATAGTCTCAATCTTTCCACTGTGAAAGGTTTCCATCTTTCTCTGATCAGCTCTACTAAAAGCCATCAGTGATGACAGTATCTTTTGTGAAGCTTTGAAGGGACATCTCTAATAAATGCAGATCAAACTTGTTACAACTGTGTTAGAAAAAGACAGAGATGGGGGTGTTTTGTTGTCGTATTTCAATATTTCAACAGGAGATAATCTCGCTGTATCAACATAATTAATTTTATTGGTTCAGTTTTGTTCTTTACAGAAAAGTAATTCTGAACTCTTCAGCATTTAAGCAGCCATGCACTGAACACATGGATTTTGTTCTTCCCTTTCCTTTTTAAGCTGTAGACACAAGTGTTTCCCAAGTTGTATTTCTAAGGACTCGCATGGCTACACTTGAATCTGGAGCAGCAACTCTCATTTTCAATGGCCCTCAAGGTATGAGCCAGTGCTGTGATGTTGTGATGTGGTGCATGTCCCAGCAATGTCACAGCTCAGTGGTGTCTGGAATGTTTTTTAAATGATCTGTACTGTATTTTTTTTTTTTCAAAAAAAGAGACCTTAATTATTTATTGGAAAATTGTGATTGTTTCTCAGAAGTATCATGAATGATATTTTTTCTTCCTCACTTTTAATCCGTAAGGATGTATTTTCAGATTACTGATTTACAGCATCTAAAGAGAGGTCACCATCCTAAAACATGTTCCTGTGGCTGCGGAATACTCCTCTCCTGTGCAGTAAAAACTGCAGGAGCTCTGGCCCTGGGATAATATGCTGATAATAAGTCTGTTCTGTGGGAGGATATTTTATTGATCTTTACATTATGTTAAAAGTTTTAAGTGAAAATAGTCACTTGCTTGGGAGAACACCTGAGCTGAATAATAAAAATGATGAAACATCACTATTAGAAAAGTCGGTATATGTAATGTATGTAATGGTCAGTAGAAATAACCTTGCAGACATGAGGTGATTAGTGGAGAACAGCTTGATCATTGCTTCTGATTTTGATTTCATCACTGCTGTGTTCCTGGTCCAATAGACTGCACCATTGCTGAGAAATATTTTTGCTGTTCTGATTTGCTTTTCTGCAGGTTCTGTCAACTTCTGGCGTTTGCTCAGCGGAGCCCGGCCTCCAGCCAGCTTCACACCTGTAAGTTTGCCTGTTGGCTGTCCTTGCAGTCCCGGGTAAACTGTATATAAAGAGGGGAGAGGAAAAGCACCATCTCCTTGATCAGCCATTACAAACGCGCATCTCCTCTTTGGATTTGCTACATCACCTGTATGTTGGAATTTAAGCCCATTGAAGTAGGCTGTACTACATTACCCGGTAATTTGCAGCCTGTGATAATCACACTTGAATCTTTGTTTCAGTCTAGAGTGAAGTCTCCCATCAGCAGCATTGCTGTCACTGCTGATGATTTGCTTCTGTACGCGGCCGATCGCGATGGTTACGTGTATGTCTACAGCATCAAGGATTACGCCCTGGGGAGCCCAGAGCAGGAGCCACCACCATGTACGTGGCATGAATTGTTTTTCTGAATGGTCATATGGATGTGTGTATGCAACAGAGCAAACACAGTAAGAGAAAATAAGGATTAAAATGAACAAAGTGCTCCTTATGATTTGGGGCTATACAGATAAAAAAAAAAAAAAAAACTTGAAGCAAATCAAAATACTCCTCCCTGCCACATTTTTAATCTACTTCCATGTCTTGTACATTCTCAAAAATCCTTACCTTGGTTACATGATGACTTGTTTTCAGCACAGCTAAATTTGCCCTTATTTTAAGGTATTTTAAGTAAAACAATTTAATGGTCCATTGGCTAAATTCTAACAAACCTACTTTGAATTCAGTAGGAGGTAAGGATTGAGCAAAATCTCCGTATCGTTGTTAGCGTATCAACCTGACACTTAAATCCATGCAGTGTAGTGGAAGCTAAACAGATGTACATCTGTTTACCCGGAGCATGTTAAAAACTATTTTTTTTTGCATTAAAACAATGTTACTTATGCAGAAATATTTAGTTTCTATTTCATAGGCTTTGTGCTCATTCTTGCACAAATTGTTGTTGCCTCTCTGAAGTGACACAGTATTGTATTGACGTGTATATCTGTATTACTGTGAAATATATGGGATATTACAGATTTATTTTTTATTTTGCTGTAGATATGCACCGGTGGCGAGCTCACATAAAAACGGTTGTATCGTAAGTATAGCCTCAGGAAGTGCAGTAGATACGTACAAAGTACACAGACCTACTAACAGTTGCTTCTTAGTGCAAATGTATTTAGATGAATTACCATCTCCACGGGCACCAACGCAGCTCTCTGCTGTGCTCGTGTTCAGCAGCTGCCCGTGGCAGTTACTTTCTCACATCGCGGCAGTATCATGGAGCCATTTGTACCTCGGTGTCCTTCAGCGATGCGTGACGCTGGCTCAAGTTAGCAACGCTGTCACACGCTTCCTGGCAGGAGCCTCCACACGCACCCCCCTCTCCCCTGCTCTGTCGTTACAGCCTAGAGGTGATAGATGAAGACAGAGTCCTGCTGTCCTCATCTACAGACTGCACCGTCCGCTTGTGGAGTCTGCATGGCGAATACATCGGTGAGTGAGTAGAGCTGACAGCTGAGCACTGCCACGAGAGCAGAGGCAGAGCTGCCAAACAGCAGATGCACATAAAAAAAATACCTGCAGAAAGCTGATGTAGACTTTTATCATTGGGGTTTTTTTATATATACATATATACACATATATATATACATATATACACACACACACCCCTTTGGGTTATGACTTACTGGGTGCCTAAGTGAGAGATTCTTGGGCTGCAGCAGTGGATTTAGGACTTGGGTCTGTACTTTCCAGTTTTTCATCTTACATTTTACATCACTTAAGGGCTACACTTAAACGACCAAGAGAGTTTTATTAATGTCCACAAGGAAGGCCTACAGGGCATTCTCTTCTTTCTCATTCTCAACATGTTTCTTACCGTATTTACAAGTGAATTCTGACAGCCAGAAGAACTTAAGGCCAGTTTATGATATTCTAAAATCTGAATATGTGGACGCTGAGGTTTTATTATGCCTTAAAAAAAAAAAATCCATGGAAATTACATGTTTAGGTCCTATTTTTCCATTTGCATTTTTGATTCCTTTAGCACTTTTGAAATTAGCTAACATCCACTGAATACTGTTTTTGGGGATTGATCAAGGTCCATGAAATAAACAACATCTGACTTTGAAGATTACATAAACTGTATTTATTTAATTGGGGAATGTTTTTCAAAGAGCTGTACTGTAGCTTAACCACAGGCCGATGCACAATGCACAAATATATGCATGACAAATATCAGCATCAGAGCAGCAGATTCCTTGGAAATTAGTCTGCTCAGCCATAACCAAAGTTTATATCCCCATCCCCACCTCAAATTTAGTAATGTACCTGGCAGCCTACTATCCTTAATTTCAGAGATAGGAAAAAGCAGCCATATGAAGAGGTAGCCTGGAGCCAAAGCTCACTCATAGCAATGTCTCAAGTCCCTCCTCCCTTGCTATCTAACAGAGACACTGTCTGCCATCTGTGGATAACCATGGACAGATTTTTTTTACTTTGTTCCCCTCGCATCCTTTTTTCTTTCTTTCCTTTCTTCCTTCTCTCCTCCTCTTTCTCCTTGTTCCAGGGACCTTTGGCCAGACAGAGCCATGGGAGGTTTCCACTCCAGCCTCCTGGAAACACCCCGGGGTTCCCTATGAGATCCTCACAGACCCACAGAGCCTGCCCCTTCATCTAGGACAAGCTCCTGCCTCACAAGTCACCAGCTCAGAGCAGAGTCCCACAGCCCAGGGGAAGCCTGGGCCTAAGGTTGGTGCAGACCCAACACTTTTTCTCTGTGCAGTAGGTAAGACCTCTTTTGCCCAAAACCTTAATGTGCATAGCTGGCCTCTATGGTGTTTCAGAAAGATTATTTTATTTTGGCTTCATCGTTTCTAGCAGGTGGCATGGAAGAAGAACAAACAAAAACAACACAATAAACAAAAAACCCACACTACTACAAAAATGGGGGAAGTAGTAACTAACTAAAGAAACATTTCAGTGAAGGATCAGACACATGAACAAGTGTTATTATGCACCTTGATAACTGAACCTTAATTATAGTCTAAACATTGCTAATCCCTTAAATTGTAAAATTACGCTGTAGATTAAACAAACCCCAAAACGTTCAAAGATCTTAAGAGTCTTTGCTTTGCTCTTATCCTTTTGAGGACATAAACCTCTACTATAGTGGCTTAAAATACTTAAAGATCAGCAGGGCAGGGTGATTTCCCCTAATACTGTATGTCCTTTCAGAATTACTTCAATAAATCTTTAAAAAAAAAAAAAAAAAGTAATGACAGCAAACTATAAAAGCAATTCTAGGAAGTCTTCTGCATTTTATCGAAGTTTGGAGCATCCAGAATTCAGAATTACAGACATACTGAATTTGAAGCTATTTGATGGGTGCTGGGAGCTTATAAACCATCTAAAAGCAGCAGTTAATTCACAAGACCCTTATGTTAGGAAGGTAAGTGTATAAATGTCTCGCCTACCATTAAAGTAAGGTTAAAAACAACCCTTAAGGCTAGTCTGAATAAGTGCCTTATGATGGATTGTGAGTCACATCCTTAAACATTTTTAGTGGAGGCCTGATCTCCCTCTATCCCTCACACAGATATTTGAATTGGAGGAGAAAAAAGAAAAAAAGATGGTCTTTACTAGGCACTTTTCTAGGATCTTCTAAAGTCCAAAGAGTCTCAGAAAAGCTCAGAAGAAAAGCATACCTACACAGTAAGAATACATTCACTGTTACTGGATGGTCTACTTATTAGTAATGCTGTAATAGCAAAACAATTGCATATAGATTTGTTAATTTAGAAATGAGTTTTGTAAGCCAATTCAATACATTACCCAAAATACTCCATCAGAAGAATTTTAAAACCTTGTTTTAGGGTAATCAAGTTTTTTTCTTTTAGAAAGGTGAGTGGGAGGGAAGAACTTTGTGCACTATTTAATGGGTAGTGCGGTAAGACCAAAGAATTACCACATTAATAAGATTAAACTGATTAGCAGTCAAGGTTTATTCCTTGCCCTGCTGAGTGTTTTTTTGGCACTTTGCAGCATGAAGAAAGCTCCTGTCCCAAACATCCTCACATCCCTCTTACTGATGCTGAGATCAAAGAGGGAATGAACAAGTGGCTTTCACAGATCACCGGTGAAAGGTAAACTAGAAAGTGAGAAATTCATTAATTCAGAGGAAGGGAAGAAGCTTGTATTACTAATTTCTGCCCTTTTTTATTTTTTTTTTAAACTTTCAGATTGAAGCACAAGCACTATGAGAATTTAAGTAGGCTGCTCAATAAGGGATTAACCACTTACCACACCATTAACTGCTATGAAATAGTCAATGTTCCAGAAGTTTGTGAAAAACCTGATTTGTCTGTTCTTGGTACAGATTTATTTTATGAAGGTTCATTAGAGGAAAATTAGAGCAACACTCTCTCCTGAAGTAACTGAACATGTAACAATCCATCACCCCCGTGCCAGCAAAGCTTCCCAGGATAGCTCCAGGACTAGCTGTTCCATTAGAGTTCTGCTTTCAGTGAGATGTCTCCAAGATATTCTTTATTTCAGTCACAGGGCTAGAACCATACTATGCATTTTAAGCAAGTAATAACCTATGCATGAAGTAGTTAAAAATCTTAGTGCTTAAGTCTTGATCCTACCATTACATTGGAACAATACATCAAGTATTGCCTCCTCCATCCTCCAAACAGTTTTGAAATCCCATCTGACCTCTAAGCTCTAGAAAAAGGAAGAATCTAAATCTATTTGATGTTTCCTACTGTACACAATTCCCTAATTCAGGCACAAAGAGCCTGTAACAAGGATGTGCCCTTCAGTAGCCCAGTTACCTGGGGCCATTGCTGACACCTGCACCACCAGAAAGCTGCATGCCCTGTAACACTGCTCCTGCCCCGGCTGGCAGCAGA